CTCACCCTCTTCAACGGCTTCACCCTCCTCAGCGAGCGTAGCATCAGCCTCCTCAGCATTCGGAGCGCCATACATCTCCTCAATGTAGGCGTCCTCATGCTCAGCGTCTGGTTCGTCCTCAGGGAGGGCGTCAACCATGTCCAGGGACAGTCGCATTGGCGGCGAGGAGAGCATTTCTCACCATCTCGCTCGACTGGCATGTCCTCGAAGTGCATATCCCGCTCAATCTCCTGACGCCTCTGCTCCATCATCCTGTGGATGGCAGGGATTGAACGATCCGGCCTCTCCCACCCGGAGCTACGCGCAGCGATTTTGGCCTTGAGGCGCTTCTCCTCCTCCTCCTGAAACCGCTTGATCTCGGCAGCCATCTCTTCGCCTATGCGCTGGGTCTCCGGGTTGCTGGGATAGGCGCCCTCAATGTAGCGAAAGCTGGGCAACAGTGCATCAACGCCTGGTCGGAACCTTTTGGCGACAATCTCCCTATCAGCAGCAAAGCACTCGTCATGTATCGCCCGAAAAGGAAGCGATTTTCCCAAATATCGCGGGCACGGTAGCTGTCTTGGAGAACAAGAAGCGAAGCTAGCTGGTCGACGCAGGCGGTGGTCAAACCTGGACACAGCTCCATTTCATTAAAAGCCTGGGCGACGACGACGTTGTAGTCGGGTTGGAGCCCATAGACGAACGACTGGGGGTTACCGTGAACGTGAACAGCTGCTACATTGGGCATTCCCGCGAGGGAAGCCAAAATGTCCTTGCTTGCGGGTTCGAGCGGTAACATGTTCCACGGAATTTAGCGTTGATGGTCTCCAGGCAGTACCCCAAGCCTCAAGGGGTGGGAGACATCCGTAATCCCCGCAGATTTCGTCTCCCAGCCACCAGCACACTACGTCGATCTCCAGCTGGGTAGACGTCAACTCTGACACGATTCGACGGCACTCCTGAGCGATGTGGACCAACGTTTTGCCCCAAAGCATGGCTTACCGGTAGATTTGGTAACCACTAGCTTGGGCCGATGACTCCACCTCGCGACCACTTGTCGAGTCGGTCACGAATACCAAGGCTCTCCTCGCGGAGAGCTACCTTGTTCACCAGGTGCCCGAAGCCCCAGTCATTGAGCTCCGAAAGAGCGACGAGGTTGGGGACCGGCACTATCGAATTTTTCAAACTCGAGTTGGAGAGACTCTGAATCGGCAGCTGGCTATAGAGTCGCTGCGTTGCGCTGTAGAAGTCCTCACTCTCAAGTTGAAGGCGCTCCGCCGCCAGCCCGCCTCGGCAGAGGCACTCAAGGGCCAGCTTGTTCCGCACCTTTTTGGTGGGCTTTGCATTCACGTTGACGCGGAGGATCTCGTCCTCACACCGGACGTCGTGCCTGATGAGGAGCAGCCATGACGGAGTCTCGGTTGGGCTCGTAGCCCGTGCGGAGGACTTGAATGAAATCAGCTGCGGCAGAGTCACTCAAAGCTTTGCTGGAAGGCGCGGCACACATAACCCTTTGATTGTTAGGGGCAAGACCAAGGACAGGACTGGAAGACAACCTGGCTCCTGTATCCTGCGGCGCGGCTTAATGGCGACACCCCCCTCCTTGCGAGGGGGAGGCAAAATGCAACATGTGGCTTTGCGCGGTTTCGGCAACTTGAAAGATTGCTTTGCAGGGTTTTGGTTTCTTCCGGCTTGAGGTCGAAAACGGATCTAGTTGCGTAACACGCAACTGAGAGCCTCACACCGGTCCAAGCCTGCACTGCATGGGCTGATTTAGGCGAACAAATAGGCTTGCGGCAGGTATCGCGCAACTTGGCCTTAAAGTTCTTGCCCTGCTTGTTTGTGATATTTCGATCACCCCCCTGATCCTCAGCGCACAGACCACCTCCTTTGCTTTGCCCCAACGAAAATGCACAGTTGTTTGAACCTTCCAGGTTGCGCACGTCCGTGTGCGTTGTTGCTCGCAACTGACAGGTTATTGCAAAGGTGCTCCATGTCATACCTTTAGGCAGAACGCGAACGAGAAACTGATTGATGTACTCGACACATTGCGGGCAGGACAGCGCGCGGTTTGTAATACCACAAAATGGTCCATGTGCAAAATGCGCCAAACACTTGCCATCTTCAAATATCATACCAAGTAGCTTCTCCAACGCGTCATAGGAGTAGTCTTTAGACTTCAACAGAGACGCCGCCAAAATTTCAGAAGTACTGCTTGTATCGTAAAAGGCGTTGCACTTGTCTCCATTGGCTTAGGTTGCCCCTAGCTACCTTAGACGTGTGGAAGGCGTCGCTGTGCGCGATGAGCCTCAGCGCATGTTGCCACTTAGCACGGTCTGTGAACGGCTTTGTAAAGATATCGGCCACTTGCTCTCGAGTGTCAGCTTCTAACACGCGAAAGCGCCCAAACTCGAACTGCTGACGCAGCCACAGGAAAGACACCTTCTGTGCGCGTGTCGCATAGCTCCGGAAGCTCCGGTAAGTAGGATTGTAATAGTTGCCTGGTTGTCTTCCATGACCCTGACCTTGAACTTGTCGGGGAGGGAGACATGAAGCCCGTTTCCACCATAGCGGATTTCATCAAGCTCCGGATCAATGCGCGCAACAGCTGTACCAGGTTTCATTGCAGCCTTAGGCACGGCCTCGGCTTCTCCCATCCAGAGAAAGAACCACAGGCTCAGCGATGGAAGGCCTTGGGCGCGAATACCCCGGTTTGCAGCTACGACTTCTGATTCGGTAGAGCTCATAGTGATACTCGTCTGCTTCTTGCTGAAGGCATTGAGGGGGTAATACGTGTTTGGTCCCACGAGAAAAAGTGCACAACCAGCGGTAGACTTGGCATCAAACTCACCAGCAAAGTCACTGTCGCAGAACAACCACAACTGACAATCATTGATTGCATCTCCAATGAAGCCACTCATGGTAACGTACAGGGTACTGTTGATGTATGCTACTGTTCTTACGAACCCTTTCTCTAGTCAGGAGATTCTTGATAGCATTGAGGAGGAACTCGTAGGCGTGGGTCTCGGCACATTCCTTAGCACGGTCACAGGTATCCAGGTCGTACTTCAACTTTTGGGAACCCCTGATTTGTCTGAGCAAGATATCCCTGAGTGTCAACTCTTCTGGAACATGTGAGATTCCTGCGATCACGGACTCTCAGTTGTGAATGAAGGTGCTCAAGTCATCATTGATTAAGCTTACCTTCAGAAGGTCTTCTACGGAGTAGAGCGCACCAACTTCCTCATTAGTTATAAAGTACTGCTCGAACATGTAGAGCACCTGCCTGCCTCTTACGGCCCTTGACTGAGCAGCTTGGGACTCGTTGTAACTTACAATCTGTCGGGCCAGATCGCCTTTCACCACTTGACTTATGGCAGCCAAGAGCTTGGTGTCCAGTCCTTAGCATAAACGGCTTGAACCCAAGAGAAGGCCTCGTCAGGTCTATCAGAGGCCGCACGAATCGCCTCGCGAGCAGCAGCCCGCCACGATCTGTAAGTCTCTGGACTGGGGTAGTCTAGCAACTTGATCGTCTCTGCTTCTTTGGTTTTGGGTTTGCCGTCTTCATCACCCTTGTTCATCATGGACAGCAAGGCCTTAACAAGCAAACTCTCGGGTGATGGGTTCTCTACGGCTGCTACGGGGACGTCCTTGCTCGAAGCAGCACGCTCCCGAAGGGGTGTTGTTTGCCCGGGGGAAGGAGGTCTGGCACGCCTTGCAAACAAATCCTTCATCTCATCAGGGACCTGGAAAGGATCTGGCAATCCACCGGTAAAGTCAGTACGCAAACTTGCTGGGCTTGACTCCTTAGTTGGGGCTGTTCCTCGCGGAAAGCTACCCTCGGGAGCACGATCCGTTTGTCCCGAACCCAAGGCTCGCACAGCCTCACCAAGGCGCCTTTGCAACTCTGCGTTTTGCTCTGACAGGTCCTGAATCAAGCTGTCAAACTCTACCTCTTCCTTAGTAAGGATGTTCCAGTGTTCGGCTTCTTGGGCATCAAACTCTTGACGGAACTTTTGGGTAAGGAAGGAGATCGTTTCGGAATGGTTTTTGTCAAACGCCGACCTCATTTCTTCCATTTCCTCGCCTCTCCTGTCATTCCTTTCAGACATTTCGACAAGACGAGTTATAAGGTGCTCCGTATACCGCTCTGTCAACAAAGCTTCCTGACTCTTTTGCCTGAATGCTTCCTGTGTTGCTCGTAGCTCAGATTTCATTTCATCAGCGAAGTTAGCAAACTTGCCCTCCAAAGCTGCGATCTTGACATGGTGCTGTCGGTCAGCAAGCTGTTTGAGCCCTTCCATCTCACTTTGCACCTGTTGACGAACACCCTCCTCGTACTCCCTGAAGCGGAGTTCTGCCTCAACTCGGACAGCGTGTGCCGCAACCTGAGCACTCCTGCATGGGACACCTCGGCATTCTGTTGCATGACGTTCAAGATTCGAGCCAAGTTGCGGCGCATTTTTGCGCCGGCGCTTCGAGAGCTGTTGTTACAGGCATCAGCACTGTAGAGCAAGAAGCTACCGCTAAGTCAAGCCTTTTACTTCCGGCGACTTTGAATCGAAAGGTCAACGCGTTCAACAATACAAGCATGGAAAGTGTTACATAAGTAGCCAAAGTAGCAAACCTACCTGGAGTGCGAAAACAAGAGCGCATGATACACGGTGGGAGCTCTGCTACGCATAGCAAGGGCAACTCCAGTTAACACAGAGGACTGTACAAGGATCGAACTCTATTCTCTACACTGTGCACTAAGTGGTCAGCTCAAAGGCGGAACACTTTCACAGAGCCTCTAGCTGTAGATCTCCACAGCGCGCTGGTGTTACAGGGACCAATCTCATAGCGCAAGTTGCCCCCTTAATCTGGTGCATCGCGGCCCTGCCGACTCCCTGTCCCATTACTGCCGTTCTTAGTACAAACTACTGACTGTTAATGTCAGTACTTGTCAGGATTATCTTCATTCCCACTGTTGGTACCGTTCTGACTAGTACTGCTTGTACAATAAACGAGGATCCAGAATCAGGCAAGCCGTGGCCAAGATCAAGCCAAGGTAGTGGCCATATGCCACAACTGCACCGCCGATGTCCCCCTCCGCCGCTGCTGATGCCGGGGTACTGACCAACATAGGGGCCATCATTAAGGCTGTAGCAGCATGGGCGCGTGATGCTTGGAACGAGGATGCCTTCGAGCTTCCATGAGCGGGGGATAAAAAGGTCCATGGCGCACTGATGGCACAAAGGAGAAGAAGCAACAGCAGCTTTTGCCTGCAACGGGATCGATTGTATGCTGCCATGGCCGGGCCTCTCTGGCACCGCTTTGGCAGAAATCTGATCCGCTCCACAGCCACCGGTACATGAAATTTTGAGGGCCTCACTTAGCAATAGCATCAGAATCTTTCGCTCATCTATCCATGCAAGACCCCATGGACTTCACTGATCTTTAATGCAGACAATGCCATGGAATCGCGGAATCAAACTGTAGCGACCCTTTTCTGGGTGGGTGAAGACAAACTCTAACTTTTTGAGTTGGCGCAACATGTTATGGTTAGTTGAGTTAGTTGCGTGACCTGACCCGCATCCCCAACTACATATGTCCATGTGCTCAGCGGAAAGAGGCTGGCCTGACACAAGACATGCCTTGAGTTCGTTTTGCGCTGCTAGCCACTGCAATGCTAGCACGAACCAAAAGGCCGTGGGAGTTCCCACTATTCAAACATTACTGCACAATCGAGAACTGCAATAAGCTCGGTACGTTTGTAGTTCAACATGCCGCTTTACAAAATTGCCAAGCAAGTGAAGTGCTGCAGTGTGAAAAAGCACGGCCTGCTGCAGTTGCTTCTTGACAGCTGAACTTGCTGCTTGGAGTTCCTGACCACAAATGACTGAGGCTACGAAAATGCCGACATTTGTCGAAGTCCTGCGCGCACTTGCATGCAGCAGCTGGGCGATTCAATGATTGCACCCCTCCCGTTTCAAAGTCAATGTTCACAATCCGTCTTTCCTGAATGATGACCGGGCGAAGGTACGAAGTTAGATGTGACATGCGCGACAACATGATTGATCATCTTGCTTCACCACGTCCACCTGCAGCATCTGGCTGGATTCATCCTTTTGCTTTTGCATCTCCTGGCAACATCGGTGCCAGCCAAAGTGCTAACGATAAAAGTGCACTGGCAACGAACCCCGACCACCAAACGCTTTGCAAATTTTGCAAGTTGCTCTTATCCTTCCCCTGAATTTAACTAACCGAATCAAGGACAGCAGTCTTGGCTTGCAGCCCAGCAAGTGGGAAGCGCAGCGCACAAGAGTGTCAGGGCTGACTTGCATGCTGGCATGCGCATCCCAACACTGGAAAGCAAGAGGGGAAACACGAAGTCTCCCGATCAGTGAATGCAGCCTGCTTTTCCTTCTCGGAAGCTTCGCATGCAGCTTGCAGTTCCTGTAGGCATCGCAAATGACCGCGCTTGTAGATGAACAGCCAAGTTCAGCCAAGCTGAGGTCAATCAACTGCCAGGAGCAGAATAGTTAGCACTGTGTGGAGTCCACCCACATCTATCATGCGTGTCCTTCAGCTTTTTCCTGGCTTCCGGCTTCTTGTCCTCCAGCTCCTCACAACACTCTACGCGCAGACTGGCACAGGCTGCGCAGCATTGTAGAGCAAGAAAAGGTGTCCTGGAGCCCATGTTGGTGATCTGCAGGGATCCTTCCATGAGCATCCTGGGCCTCCAGGACGTCGAGCGCCATGAACATGGTCAAACCGTGTCATTGCTATTGCTTTGCTCGTGTTTTTCTTCGTTACTTATCTTGAGCAGCTGCAAATAAATTGCCTTTCTTCGCATTGATGGAACTTCTTGCTGCTACACCAACACAAGAAATCTGCGTAAGCGCTACTCTCGGGAATGCGGCCCATGGCCCATAAGTCTATCCGTCTTCTTGCAGCCAGAAAACCTGGTCCTCAGCCTTCCGCAGCCATGCTTCAGATGCCCCACCCACGTCCTAAGGCCAGGCACGAAACAGATTTCGCATGTTATGATCAGCAGCTAGCTCTCAGCCGCCAGCCTTTGACGAGGCTTGGAACTTCTCCTTTGACACCTTCAGGGCCTGCCATACCATATCATATCTTGGCACCATCTGACATGCAGTTTCATGACTCCCACAGGCGCAAACTACGTTATGATCTTGCTGGCAAGCTGCCTGCAGTGCCTCCTTCGTCACCGCGGGACCTTGACCAAACGCCTGATGGCCGATGGATCTATTGCAAAATCACCACAGAAGAAGTCACGGGCTTAAGAAAATCAGCCCCTTGCCAGCCGCGAGTACATTTTGAAATTGACGAGCAATTCGAATGTAAGAAAATGAAGGTACCCTGAACTCGGGGCTGTGATTTGTTTACTTGCTCTTTCTTTAGTTAGGCCGCTTCTAGCGCTTTGAATCCAAAAAGGGGATCCAAATAAAGACAACACCCCAAGTTGACAAACTGAGCAACCACTTTTAGCTGTGAGAAAATTATAGAATGTTTTTCTCACAAAATCTCAATGGAGCTTTGGGGGTTTGCGCGAGGTTTGCTTGGCTAATCACTCCCAAATCTTCTCCAAATGTGCTCATGAAAAGAGATGATACCAGCAGGTTTCGAACCACCCTGCACTTCACACTGCACATGACAAGCATTGCACTCTCCCAACTAATAACAAAGCTAAGACACCCTCAGACAATTTGGCCTAATTAGGCGCGAACAAGAGCCTGCCGGGCTAGAGCCTTCCGGGCTAGTGCAATCCAAAGTGATTCGACTTGAGACGATGAGCCCCTCATGGCTCACTATCTTGATTGAAGGTGGTTCATTTGAATTGCGGGCGCAGGCAGCCTTCCAGATGTTTGTGTTGAGATATACTATGTTGGCCTAGCAAGAGCAATGAAAAGACTGGATGGTTCAAAGCCTCTGGTATCATGTCTTGCCCTTCGCATTTGGGCAAGATTTGAGATTGCAGGTAGCATCCCCCACCCCGGACACTAATCTAAAAAACGAGGAACTCATTTTGAGAAGTTTAAGAAAGTGAGAAGATAATTTTGCAAATTTGATCGTTTGTATGAACTGCCTGTTCAAGGTCAAGAAGTTCAGTGAGAAATCGAGGATAGCCTCAGAGGCTACAACAATAAAGTTGATGAAGCAGCACACGCCCACAAAATCAGAGAACAAGGTACGCTCAGCGGGGGGAAGCTGCTTCTTAAACAGTGCTGTCGACACACTTAAGCAAATCTGTCTAAAGATCTTGCATTCAAGCACTCTTGCGAGGCTGACATTGAGTCTGCACCCTCCAGACCAATAAATCAAGTAATTGTTGCCAAAAAATGGGTTTGGGCCCTGGTGGTCATTACCCAGCAGAAGACGCGTAAAACAATGTTGGTTGCATAATGCAGGTGCGAGGAAGGGGCAAAGGTTCTGTAATGAGACGGGTGAACACCTCTAAAGACCGCCCTGAAGTTGGTCGCAGCAAGCAGGGCCAGGGCTGATGTCATGAGCAAGGTATGCAAACTTCAAACTCAGGGCAACATTGCGTACAGCTTTCGCACTCTGCCTGCAGAGCCGATGGGCGATGACCAAAAGCGGACAGTGCCTGTGGGCTGCAGAAAACGAGCTGGACTGCTGTGTCTTGAGATGGCTATCTTACCGCCTGACTCCCAAAAAAAGTATTTTAAAAAAGCAGATGAAATTGCACGTCTGCGGCTAAAAGCAGCACTGTGCAGCCGCGCCGCACTTCGTGGTGGAGCACACGCCACATTAGTAGGTGTCGGCGTCTGTCACAAGTTATGCAGGTTCAAGGCAAACGCACTCTGACCTGCCACTTTGACATCCACAACACTCTGCAAATTACAGCTGAAGTCAATTTGATGAGCCTACACCGGCTTGCATTTCAACTTCTATTGCGCGAACACGCTCCAAAAACAAATGACAAATATGATGCTGGCAGGGCATCCATGTGAATTATGCATATTGCAACATGACATGGGACCGCTCCGCCTCAGTTGGTGGTACCAACTTCTTTTCCCGCCCTGCGCTGCAAAAACATGATGCCGGATAAGCCATCTACATGCGTCAGCCTTAGGTCTTTCAAGTGAGGAAATACGAGCAAGTTGAACAGCGGGACTATTTGCCGTGGCTTACGCTAGCGTAGGGAGAGCCTGACGGGCGTTTTTAACAAATCACACGGTGCTTTGACTCGGCTTAAATGTCAGTGCAAACTGACGTCACAAGCAGGCCAACTAATCCTTCTCAGAAGCAGGTTTGCAGGTCTACAACATGTCTTGCCTCTTGGCGGCGTGGATGGTGCCGGGGAAGCCTGCGCTGTCACATCTCTGCCAACCAAGGTTGCAGGTAAGGTAATCCCCTATCCATTTGGCCTCGGGCACCTGTGCTTCTGGCTCATCATCTGAGTCCAAAACCTTCCGGCGGACGGGATTGTTCTTCCTTCTCGCATAGGCTGATGCTCTGTCAAGCAATTTCTGACATCTTCCCACATTGCAGACTCTCGGCAACTTGCGCGCCACCGTGGTGGGTCACACCACGAAAATCAGGCTGCAATGTGTGCGTCACCTAAGGCGCAGCGCCACCGTCTTTACATGGGTTGGCTTGGGGGCTTGTACAATCCAACAAAGCCGGAAGCCATGGAAGCACGCGACCTGCAAGACGGGATGCACCCGTCATGCACAAAATTCAAAATCAAATCTTCAGCCGATTTGTACTATCCGACAAAATCGTGCTGAACCAAATGCCATGAGATCATGATGGCATCGGAGATGGAATCTGGAAACGGCTGAGAGATCTGGCTCAGGGCCTATGCCCAGGCTCATCCCCACAGCTCGCATGCAATCAGGCCAAAGGTGCTGCAACTGCAGCCTAGACAATCAAAGCCCTTGGCACAGGGGGGATCAGACAAATTGGCAGAGTTCGGGATGTAAGAAACTTTCGGGTCCTGATGTTGAAAGAGCTCCTGCATCCGGAAGCTGCCAATGCTTCTGAAAAATTAATTCTCTGTGACTCAGAGTCAGAATCGGGCATCAAGCATGAGTCCCCCGGTCAGGCCAAGCATTGGGCCAGCTGTTGGAGGGAGTCAGAAAGCTGTCAAGGCCTGCATGGCCTCGGATGCACGCAGCTGATATCGCTTTCGCGCACAATCCAAAACAACCACACCTCCACTTGTTCATCTCAAACCAGCAACTTAGGAGACCGAGACCTGAGACCGCAGAAAACACTTTTGCAGGCCAGCATCTTAAGCGCTCGCCAGAGCCTGCTGGTAAT